AGCACAAAGACTGGAAACTGGGGGGAAAGCTAGCCTAGCTCTGTCTGAAAATAACAAAATCACTAGCTGGGAGTAGTTGCTAGGCAACCAGCGGACACTCCAGGAAGTTACCGGGCAAAGATATAATACGCCAGACGTGTCAGTGAGCTTTAAAGGTGCTGGAACGTTGATTTTGTTACCTTCAGACAGAGCCAGACTAGCTGTTTTCTTGTTTCTAGTTTTGTGCTTACGGCCTGCTGGCTTGTAGCCTTATATTTAATGGACAAACATGAGAGCGGTGTCAATCTTGTCATCTAACTCTCCGCCAGAAAGCGAAATAAGTGTATTTCCCAAAATGATGAACTTTGTCTTTAAAAAAGGACCGTGATCTATTTTTTTTTTTAACACAAAGCTATTCAGCTAATGTAAACAAATTACCTTACTAGTTTTAATGTAGGCTTGCTTTAGACTTAGTTAGAATTATCATGTACAAAAGTATAAATATTGGATTCAGTACAGGCAGATACTCATTATTAAATGGCTGTAATTAAGATTAGTGACCAAAATCTTGACTGGGACATCCCCATCGATTCCCCTCTACGAGTTATCTCCCTTTACTTTATGTCTGCATTTCCTTCCAGACCTGTTCGACAACTACATGCAACAGGACGCCCACGAATTTCTCAACTACCTGCTAAACACAGTGGCCGACATCCTACAAGAGGAGAAGAAGCAAGAAAAGCAGAACGGACGCCTCAAGAACAATGGCACCGCCGTCACAACGGAGACCGAGACGGAGAACAAGACAGAGCCCACATGGGTTCACGATATCTTCCAAGGCACACTGACCAATGAGACACGCTGCCTCAACTGTGAAACGGTGTGTGGCTCTGCTCCCATTAGAGGGATAGTAAATTTTATGTCCCTGTGTCACCCTGAATTAGAGATCTCTCCTGAATACGTCTGAAAAAGGGATTAGCCTTTTGCAGAGATGCTGAGAGATGCAGAAAAGAAAAAAAAAAGAATAAGTGAGCACACCCGGTGGGCTCCGGCCACCCACTTTACGTCAGGGCTGCCGGAGGCTTTGTCCTCACACATTTTGAGGGCGAGGAGTGGGACGGGTTGCCCTGAACAACCCCTGCAAAACACCAAGGCACCACTATGCGAACACAAAAGCTACCCAGTATAATAAGCATTTCAAAGACTGACTGTGTGTGTGTGTAGGTGTGGGCGGGTGGGTATTCTGTCACAGCTAGCAGGCTTCTCCTCACTGACCCAGTCACAGGAAATGACAGTTTAGTTACCTCAGTGTCTCTCTCTCTCTTTCACAGGTGAGCAGCAAAGATGAAGATTTTCTTGATCTTTCTGTGGATGTGGAGCAGAACACATCAATAACACACTGTCTCAGGTAATATCGATTTATTATACATCCACACAGCCACAGCTAAAAGGCTCACAGTAGGCCATATTTGGTCTGAGAGAGATTGAATAACCAAGCCTCCTGTGGCATGCTCTCCCCTCCAGGGACTTCAGCAACACAGAGACTTTGTGCAGTGAATACAAATACTACTGTGAGACATGCTGCAGCAAGCAGGAAGCACAGAAGCGGTCAGTAATGCTCTGAGCTTAATACTACTGTGATGTGTCACCACACACACACACACTTCTCTGAGCATGTATGCTTTCTCTGCAGGATGCGTGTGAAGAAGCTTCCCATGATCCTGGCATTACACCTGAAGAGGTTTAAGTACATGGAGCAGCTGCACCGCTACACCAAGCTCTCATATCGAGTGGTTTTCCCCCTAGAGCTCCGTTTGTTCAACACGTCTGGGGATGCTGTTAACCTAGATCGCATGTACGATTTAGTGGCTGTGGTGGTTCACTGTGGCAGGTACAGTATACCAATTACCAGACCTCAATATGAGCTCTAGTGGTGTCAGACTGTCAGGTTTTGAGATACTAAAACACAACGCCTGTTCCCTCATGCTTCAGCAGACTCACTAATCAGACCTAACATCTGTTGAACGTGCTTAGCAGATTTGGGCATAAAAAACGGTTGTTGGTCCTTTGTCTAAAAAACAGGTGATTCTAGCTGTATCCCATCACTCGATTCTGTATGATGTGAAAAGAGTGGTTTGGCATTTGAGGAGAGTTAGATGAGAAGAATTGATACCACTCTCATGTCTGTACAGGAAGCCCCCCCCCCCCCAACTAAAACAACTGTGTGTCACCTATTGTTAGATTTTGACCTTCACTGTGCAGAATGGTGTCATCTCCTGAAAGGGGGGAAAGTTTCTCTCTTCTCACCTTAAAGGTCCAGTGTGTAATATTTAGGAGGATCTATGGGCAGAAATAGAATATAAAATGGATAACTACATGTATAATCGGCTGGAAATAAGAGTCATTATGTTTTTGTTGGCTTCGAATTAGCTTTTATATCTACAGAAGGTGATCTACAGGTCACCTTCCACATAGCTCAGAGCAGACAAACCAAACACACTCCTACACACTGGTCCTTTGAAATCCGAGTTAAAGACGCATGTGTATGAGATGATTTTGCAACATCACAAATATTTGCATATTCAAAGGTTCTGAATATTCTCTCCGTGAAATCATGACAAATAAGAAACAAACTTAACACATTTACTCTGTTTTAAAATCCTAATATAACAAATGAATATTCGTGCTCTGCATTTACTTTGTATCGATGACTTCAGCAGATACTGCAGGAAGCTGAGACAGATGTAGTACAATGTTTTGAGTTAGGAACATCTGTATAATAAAGACACTGTTTGTCTCTGTTTCCTCAGTGGCCCAAACAGAGGTCATTACATCACCATAGTGAAGAGTCATGGCTTCTGGCTGCTGTTTGATGATGACATTGTGGAGGTGCGTCACTTTCAGTCTCAGCATGTTACGCTGTGCTCAGTGTTCCTTGACTCATCTGTTTGTACATTTACTACCGGTTGTCTCATCAGTATCATACTTGTTTTGTGCAGAAAATCGACGCCCAGGCCATCGAGGAGTTTTACGGACTTACCTCAGACATCTCGAAGAACTCTGAGTCGGGATACATCCTCTTCTACCAGTCCAGGGAGTGACTGGAGCTGAATCAGTGACACAGGAGAAGACTGAATAGGATTTTGTTTTGTTTTGTTTTTTACCTTCAGCCGAACAGACCCAGACTCCTGCCATCTCCATCCCATCCTGCTCCTATTCTCCAAGTCAGTCGTCTCTGACATATGTGCCAATCCTCTGTCCCAACACCAACCTCTGGGTTTACCTGTGCTCATCTCTCTCTCTCTGTCTCTCTCTGTGTCTCTCTCTGTAATTTGCTTCTTGCCTTTTAGTCACCTGCATCTGGACTGCACTTTAAAACAAAAGCAAAAATGCTCAACTGCACGACGGAAACAAAAAGGAATCTACGTTCACACCGAGCCCCATACACTCGGTAAAGGGGTGTAGACTAGTGGAAGAAGCTTGCAGAGGAGATTCTCTACCAGGAACGAAGGGTCTGGTGCACATACAGACAGAAATTGTACTATCATCATTTATATGTATATAAGGTCTACTTCCATGATGTGTCACCCCCTCATAACTCCTTTCATTAGGGCTATTTTCCCCTATCACTGTCCAGTCCTTTGATATGTCCATGTCCCAGGTGGATGCATGAGAAGTGAATGAAGTTGGAGACAAACACTGTATAATACGCTTAGAGAGATTTCATGCATTTGGAGTGGGTTTGAAGCAATATCTGAGCATTAAGTAGAGAGAACTCACAAGCTGGAAACTACCTAAACCTAAACTGTAGACGTTTTGTCCCATGGAGAATCACTCTTTGAGCTGCTGTCTGTCTTTCTCTGCTGTGCAACTCCTGTTAGTCTGACCATACATAATCAATACTTTAACACTCAATCCAAACTGAGCCAGATGCTCTAACACTACACATGAAAGGAAATCCTGCAGTTTTCTGCGTCAGATAGATCTCCATTCAAATCAGCCCTTTATAATTTTTTTATTCTGATAGAAACCCCTATTTATTGAACTTAACATATTTATTACTGTTATTTGTAATGCATACTGGTAGAAAATGAAGGTGTGTGTGTGTGTAATATAGCTCTTTTGAGAGCTTTGTATGTCTAAGCTCTCAGTGTGAAAGACAATGGTGTATATAATACACAACTCGATAGGACAATTTTTGTAGTTTGCATGTTAAATAAAAGGGGGAGAGATTAATACGAGGCAAGTAACAACCCAGAACTGCCTAATATTTTAATTGACATGAAACAGTGACAATAGTGCAATAAGAGGTGAAGTTATCCAATGTGGAATTTCCCAGTGAGACTAATATGAAGTACATTTAAATGTTAGTAGTAGATGTGTTTCTTAGCGGCTGATCTTTTCCCAGTGCTGTGTTTGTGATATCAAAGTAAATGCCCCCCTTCACCACGTGCAGTGTGCACTACTGGGACTGTAGCTACAACCTTCTTTCATCCATCTTTTTTGTAACCTTACACAGCAGGGTTTTTTTTTTCTTTTTTCCCCCCACAGCTGAGTAGTTTTTTCTTGGTTTGTCTCTGACTTTGATGGCGTAAATTGTGTGTGTCATTTGTAGCACATTGAAATCCTAAATCACATAGAGGTAAACTTCAATGTTAACTCATACAACTTCCCTTGTACTTTAGATGTTTTTGTCTTCAGCCCATTCCCCAGGGTCTGTGGCCGTACCCTGTAGAATAGCACGACGTCAAACAACTTGTTTTCATGTGAATGACATTCCTATTTGATGCACATCAGAGGAATTACCAATTACCATTTCAAACGCATCTCATTATATATAATAGGAAGGAATAGGATTAATTTGCTAGCGTAGTGTCTGTCTATTCAGGAGAGGCAGAACTTGAAGTGAAAATAGTGAAACTCCGGGTGACGAATACACTTGTTTCTGCCGTCTCTTCCATTTAGTCTGTTACTGGGTGACGTCACGAGGAATACGTGCCAAACTGGAGTCGATACTGACCTTGCAACAGTCTTTAACAGAACATTATTTTCTTTGTAAAGATACAACTTGTACATATATATTATGTAGAAAGACACTTCTGGAAATAGGAAAATATTTTTTTAAAGTGAAGATCTTGAAATGTAAAGACACCCATGGCAAAGATTTTAGCATTACGCTGACCATCAATGAAACCCTGTTAAGAAATACTGTTATTTTACAATCACTGATCACTACATAATCAATCACATTTGTGCGGAAGTCACCACCTTTCATTACTTTTACTGGGTTGAACTGAGCCAGGATAGAAAACAGTAGCAGGAATAGCCTGAGACATTTTAGACCTGGGTGAAAGGAAAGAGACTCTTAATGCGCAGATCTTCCATTAACACTTATGCACTCGCCCTCACTGAGATGCTCAGTTGTTGCACTTGGTCTTCTATATCTTACTGTGATAGTATTCTACCCAGGAGAGCTCAAGGTGGGAACTGATCGAGCTTGTGGGAGGGAAAGAGGAGATGATACGAGTCTCCATTTGGCTGTAAACTGAAAGTGCACTTTATTAGTGATGAGCTTCAATGCTTTAACATGAAGAACCACAGTTTAACACACTCATTTTTTTTTTCTTCTGTTCAATAAAATGACTCAACTAACTTTCTGGATGGAGTGTTTGTTTTTATTCCCCTGCTGCTTCCTGTTAGTACCTGCCAAACTACAGACATTCCCATCAGCCTCAGCTGTACTTCATGTTAAGCGCTAATTAGCAAATATTGGTACACTAACACACTATACTAAGATAGTGATGAGCAAAGTGAACATTATACCTGCTTAGCATTAGCATGTTAGCATCGTCATTGTGAGCATGTTAGCATGCTGACTTTAGACACATCCAGATACAGTGTGTCTAGATTCCATACTGCACATTGGTTCTGGGCACATTTTTACTGTGTCTACATAAAAGTGACAGAAAACCCCCCAAAATAAAAATGATGTATTATTTATTTATGAAGTTTAATTGGCAGTGATATTTCAGAATTGCTCTTTGGATGACAACCTTAAGTACTGTACTTAAGTACACTTAACTGTTACACTTTTGACGTACTTAAGTAGCCTATTTCCAATTGATGCTATTTTCCACTTCTACGCCACTACAGTTCAGAGACAAGTATTGTATTTTTTACTGCCTTGATAGCTTTAGTTACTAGTCACACACCCATCCTTTAAAATGTGATATAATGTTATAGATTAAACCAACCAGGTGCATTGATAAATAATACAGTAATAAAAATAAAAAAAATTGTGTTGGCCGCAGGCCAGAATGTAAGTTACAGCATGAATTGTCAGTCACTTCTGGTGGATACCAGATCCACTTAAGAAGGTCAATATCAGGGCCAGAAATAAAGTAGTTAGAATTATCTTCACCGTACCCATTCAGCATTAAAATGCTGCTTACATGATAATCACACTATATATTTATATATTTATATTTAACACTTTTACTGATAGTGGAGTATTTCCATAATGTGCTGTTGCTACTTTTACTTAAGTAAAAGATCTCAATACTTCATCAGCCACTGCTGGCAGTTAAACTTAACTTTCTTTCTGTTTTTCATAATTTAATAGTATTTTTCCTTTGTTGTAACAAAACAGTTTTACCACCATCGACAATCTCCTTTTTTCCAGCCGCTCAGCTCCTCAGTTTTAATTGTACATTGCATTGTGGGAGAATAGTATCGTATAGTGTTTTCTCAGAAAGAAGAGAGAAAAAAAACACCAATCATCTATCTATCGAGACTACTCTAGTCTGTCCAAGTCATATCTTGGTCTGAAAGAAACTTCCTGTTTGTTTTGGTTTTCACTGAAAATTAGACAATATGTCCATCTTTAGAGCTATCAGCTTTGTGTCCTCTCAGTCACCCTGAAACCTCAGCTAATCCCCCAGGAGGAAAAATACAGCAGCTGCCAGGAGGCTGGCACAGTCTTTACTCTGTGTTGATATTTCCACCTTTTCCCTCCTCTTTCCCCTTGTTTTCAACTTCACTTCTCTCACTGAGGCTGCATCCACAGGAAACACAGAGGACAACATGAACGTTCATGTGTGGAGTCATAAAGCTCACACCTCATGCAATTTGCAATTAAGTGACAAATATTTAATTGAGTCTGTGTGCCTTGTTATTGGTATTTCGTGATACCCATTTTCTTGTTGTACATATTTCCTTGGGTGTAGTTCCCTGTGTGCCATAGTTGTTCATTCATATTCCCTTCAGTCTCACATAATATCTAGCTCACATTTTGTTGTTATTGTTGATCAGTTTCATGTCACATTATGATTAAACCACAAATGCTTATTTTCTCAGTTTAGAACAACCTACAGTATATTGCTTCCTCCAGGTGAGGCCAGATTAACCTACCGAGGTGGCCCTGGGCTAAAATGATCTGTTGGCTCTTGCTGATTAGTCTGTGAAACAACTTGTTTAAGCAGTAAATGGATTTCTTATCATGTTGGAATTGTCCTGAGAGTGAAGGTCATAAAGATGTGAGTTGTATCACCTTAAAAGAAACAAGAGAATCAGATAACCATAACCAAGCTTGTCTCTACACATCAACACAGTCCTGAGAAGTAGACGCCTGTGTGTGTGGGTGAGCCATGAGCTTCTTTACATAAACCAGAGGGTCATAAATAATTAACTTATTGTCAGTTGGAGAATTTTCTGAGCATTTTAAACCTCACCATCACACCTAAATTTAAGTGGGCTTGTTGCACCTTTTTAACAGAAATGTGAAGAGTAGAATTTATATTTCTAAATACATAACAAAACCTACAAAAACAGTGTAGTTTTACATTAAGAACCCACCAGAACTCATTAGTCCTGCTTCACCTATCTTGCTGGAGGAAACACCATGCAAAGGAAACAATTCCTCAGTTATTGTTTTTTTTTGAATGATGTATGTGCGTCATCATTTCTACTTTGCCAAGCTCCAAAGGACAACCCGGAATCACAAATTATTTTAATTATGCATAATTATAATAATTATCTGCATCATTAGCTCACCCACATCAAGCTAAACACTACCGGTATGTTGATTGGGGAAAATAATACTGTATGTTAGATTAACTGATAAATTACACAAACTACTCATCTAGAATAAATAATGTAGACTGATAAGATTTTGTTTGTGGGTCAGTAATATGCACAGCCATGTCTCCAACATCCTCATTATTCAACACAAGCACAGGATGTGCACACATGGTGGCTATAGTGGCTCGATATGTGCAAATTATGGAGGCCAAAGTACCCTCGATGTTGTCAATAGATGATCTCCACTTGCATTTAATTATTTGCTATTGCCAGTTCTCAACTATGGGCTACAGCCTGCACAGTTTATCATCAGTGGCAATCATGATTTAATATTAATAATGAAGACACCTGTGACCAGAGAGAGGCTGTGTCAATCACAGGGTGATCTCCCGTTGTTTAGTTTGATCTGAGGTCCAATAACGCCAGGGGTGACTAAGGGTGTTTGTCTTTTCCTGTAATTTGTTTTAAGAATTAGAGATGAAGTCACTGTGAAAACCCACAGGTGGTCCATGACTTGATACTAACCTCTCATTCTGTTTCTATGGAAAGATCCCAGGCTCTTCTCAGAAACACTTCATCTCCAACAGAGAGCTGTACAGAAGGATAAATATAAACCCAGGCACACACACACACACACACACACACATATCCACACACAATTTGTAGCAAAACAATGACAACATCCTGGTAATCAGCAGCATTTCGAGAGACCTTCAGCTTCTTCCCAGAAACTACAGATATGATAGCGTATGTGTCAGTGATGTGAAGCAACAGGACTTTGTGAACAATAATGAGACAAAGTGTAATTTTGTAAAGTGTCAGTTCTATTTTTGTACAAGGTCATTTCGGGAAGTAACTAGCAGACTTAATATTGTGCTTTTCCAGAAGAACAAGAAGAGTTCTGAAGAACAACAATATTTGTAGACATAACATCAATCCAACAGTTTTTTTTAAATTGGCTTATTTAAATTTTAACGGACCAGGTGCCACAGTGGTTTACTTAATTTTAAATGCACTTTTCTGTGATTTTACTTTTCTTTTAATACTGTGTGTATTACTGTGTGTAGCCAAATCTAATGCTTCTATTATATTCCAGTATTAAAACTCACTTTTATAGACTCACTTTTACAGATTTATAGTTTTATAATGGTTTTATTTTGATTTGTTTTGTACAACCTATGTCTTTTTTATTTCCAGTTGTCTTTTTATCGTTATTTATTATTATCTTAATTCTTTGTCTTGGTCTTTGTTCTTTGTCTTAGTATATATGGCTTTGAGGCTGTGTGGATGGACTGAAACTGGACTCTGCTGGTGAATCTCATAGCTTGTTGTAAAATAAAAAACTCCAGTTAAATAAACATTAAATACCCTCAGGTCAGAGACTGCAGATTACAGTGTCCAGCCCCTGTACTTCAGTTCCAAGGAAATGAAGAGCGTATACAAAATGCTCTATTTTCATCATGTTATACCAAATAAAACTATTTAACGCTATCTTGAGTCCTTAGTCAGGGCTATTTTGGTGACTGCCATATCGGAAAAGACCAAAATAAAACCGCTGTTTCTCACTAATTATTGGAGCAGTGCTCTACAATTAGATGTTTGATATAAATTCCTTTCCCCAGAAAGAGGAGGTCTCTGTAACTTCCAGTTAGTCCTTCTGGACAAGTCGAAAAATGACTAAAAAACCTTTTTCTCACCAGAGTCTCTCTCAGAAACCTCATAAAAGGCAATATTTTAGTACTTACATTAAACACATATTCGTGCCAATGCCAAGCAGAGTGACCAGCAATAACAAACCTGATCTTTAGACTTCGATTACCACAAAACTTCAAATATTTGATATTAAAATTAATTTCTTTATTACAGTTTAAGTTGAGAACTGCAGATATTTGACTTCACACAGTCTTAACTGAGACATTTAAACATGCTTGTGATGAATGCCAGATGCCCTCCTTACCTATCTTATTTATCTCTGTGGTGCCTTATTCTAGTTTTATAACTGACCTCTCAATGACTGTGTGTTGGTGTAAGTTCATCAGCAGCAGTTTAAGACTGACTGTAAGGTAGATGGTGACGCTCACAGTAAGGACTGTTGGATAAGAAGGCAACAAAAAGTGTCAGGGACAAACACTTTCTTTTGAGCCAGGTGTTTTTGTCATCAAACTGTAGTAATAGAACATTTTTGAGTAGTTTATATGCTGGAATTCAAAATGTGTATGTAATCTGTGAGATATCCATTATCTATAACCACTTATACTATATAGGGTCGAGGGGCTGCAGTTGATCCCAGCTGACATCGGGCAAGAAGTAGGGTACACCTTGGACAGGTCGCCAGTACATCATCCTCATAATTCATGTGTCCAAATTGTCAGTAAATGTGAGCAGTGCAACCAGTTAAACATGTGATTTGTGCTGTGTCTTCTTTCTGAAAACATTGTACTCACATCAGTTAAAAGGCTTAGATCAAAGTCAGTAAATGTTAATAAGGGTGTCCCCCACATGCAAATTGTCACTTTTATGTGGATGACACTGTTATATACTGCTTTGCATCATCTCAGGAAAAAGCCTTGTGCC